ACTAAAGCCTGGACATGGTATCAGATAGACTATAAGGCGTGTAAAAAACTGGTTTTGAGGTCAGGGTGATCCGCCTAGCTCTCTGTGGCCTCTAGTCAGTGCTCTGCTGTAATGGTGCTATTAAAAGATGGCTATAGGCCATTAGTTCGGTGGGCTGCAGCGACAGGGCAGGGTACACAAATAGCCTTCACATATAAGATGAAGCCGAGCAAGCAGACCAATCAGGAGTATGGGTGGAGAGGGGTCAGGGAAGGGAACTGTGGGGGACGGTGGCCTTTGAGGGATAAAAAGGACAGTGTGGACAAGGTGACATGATTGAAAGTGCACAGTGCAGCTTTGACCTCAGTGTCGCACGCGTGATAAAAGAACGGATCGCTCCAGACACAGTGTTTGTACTGGAACAGCCACTCCAAAAAGGGGAAAAGTGATGGCCTCCACACGGATGTAGGTTCAATCTAATCCTGATGGACCAAAAGTACCTCTAACAAACAGGGATGGGGCAAGACCTTGTGCAATAAGAGTGGGAAAAACAATTATGGCTTTATTATGAATTGTGTGGACAAAATCTCAAACGTCTTGAAAAAGTAAATATGCCATACTGTATAGATTGTATCATAGATCCTCTTTATCTTTGCATACTTATAAGAACGTTTCGAGTGAGTTATTTGGTGTTTTGGGCTGAAATCTGAGTGAGTGTGGTCCTTTGCGTTTCACTTTACTGAAGCTGAACTAAATATTTGACAGGAACCCAACAATTACATGTGAAAGATAAGAAAGAGCTAGTGTAGGGACATTAAAAAGTAGAATATTTTGAATCACTTCATTGAGGTTTTATATAAATGTTTTTGAGGGTTGTGTTGAAAATGCCTCTTGGCCTTGGAAAAGAGACCTTTGAATCTCAATGGGATTTTCTTGATTAAACAAAGATACAAGATAAAACCCAAAAAGCACATCACACTCCGTGACAGGTGCGTAAGAGCAGGCCCCGCCCACAGCCTCGCCAAACTTTGAGGAGGAGAAAAACTCTTGCACTTTCATACACTATATGAATAGAGAAACAAAGACACCAGCTAAGTATTCTGCAGTTTCCGCTTTGTCTACTATCATGTCACTTAACTTTGATTCATTTGGAAATTAATTATGTCAACCTTGAGAGAAAACTAAAAACGTTCTTATCCTTGGGCAGTCTCATTGTCTTTTTGTGTTTTATTTTGTTTGTAAAGCAAATCGAGTTGCAGTCCTGTATGAAATGTGCTATATAAAAACATGTCTTCAAATACTACTCTGCTATAAAATGGGTGAAATAGTCCGTTATTTTGTTGCTATCGCTGTGGACAACTACAGTCGGGAGAAGCTGGGCGGACAGTATCAGCTCCAGTCTGACCAACCCCCATCCTCCCCCATCTTCCTCCTATCTCCGTCCGTCCATAGTCCCTGATTTATGGACCACTCCACGGCTCTCACCCCCCTCACCCCCCTCTGCTCCTCCACAACCCAAAGACACCACATTGGAAATGGCAAAGTGAGTGGAATTCCTGCGCTAAAAGGATCCAGTGCATATATTGTATATTTGAGGTCTAAACATAACGGGTTGTCGGAATGTTAGGTAGAAACTATTTATCTCACATCTTTGAACTTAAAGACTAATGGACGTCTGCTGCTGTTAGAAAGTACTTAAAAGGGAAAGGTTTAATTTTTTATTTTAACTCATTGTTTTGAAAAAAAAAAAATAGTGTTAAAAATAGATATTCATTTGTGCAAGTAAATACTCAAACTTTTATTGAGCATTTATAAAAAGATTTTTTAAAAAATTGTGGCCTCATTAAAAGTATGTTTTAGTATTTTGAGAAAATGTGTTTATTGTCCAAAAAAGTATTTATAAATAATTGCAGTTGTACATTTTGGACCTATTTCAGACCAGTTTCTGATATCTTTTCAGATCTGAGTTGGCAACATTTGGAATGAGAAAATAATGCTTCTGCGGAAAGATGCTTGTTCCATTGACAAACCCTCAAAATATATATAATATATATAATATATATATGTTTATAATCCCTTTTTTGTTTGCAAATAATTGCTTAATAATCTTCAAACTACGAACATTACGATTTCGAATTTGGTTGTGATTAAATTAGCACTGATGCCATTTAGAACTTTTGACCATAATCATGTATAAGAATCTGCCAAAGTGGTCTCAATCAAAAGTGTGGGCCCAGACTCCGCTGCGGTGCAATCCTTTTCCAGTCCAGTGAGTTTGCTGCAGTGGCCGTTAGACGCACTCATCCTTCCTCCCTCTCCTCCTGCTCACTGCCCCACGCTCAACATGATCCTTATCCACAGTCTTCAACAACACAGTGCTGAAGGTAAAGTGGAATCGGTATAAAGAAAGAAAAAAACCCAAAAACAAATGGTAAACTCCGAAAGAAATATATCAAGCATGTTCAACTATTGAGGGAATGCCAGAGAAACTGAAAAAACGGATCTACAAGATATTCAGCTTGTACTGTTGTAGTTAGTTTTTAGACATTACAGTACTATACCTGTGTGCAAACCTCACCAGTTACATTTGAGAAGGAAGTACATTTTATCCATGCAGTAACAGTGCAGTGTAGTATATAAGCTGCAGGTTTTCATGTTGTAATGAAAGTCTTAACCAACATCTAATAGCCTGACACACAAGGGTCTGGGATTTCTCGATAACAGATGCATTTTGGAAGGCGGGGCCTTGTAAAAAAAATAAAAAATTGTATGCGATTGGATAAACCACACGACTCCTCACTGAGAGTAGCAGTTACTTTTACTCTTAAAAACCAACATATCAACTTGGAACCATCAACATCTCACCTCAAATTGCATTAAAAGTGAAATCTGTGTCTTAATTTGTTTGTATTTAAACTTTTTAAACAATTCACAGACTTTATGTCTGCCATCTTGGTTTGCTTCGGCTGCCGTGAGACACACATGGTTTGCATTACATCATAAACAGCTGAGGCAGCAGATTTTGAGAAGGCGGTGCAAACCAACATTACACCGGCGATCCTGATTGGCTCATTAGAGAGATTGCATTGCCCTCAATCCAAGACTCTTAGGAAACGCCTCTGGTGGAGCATGGCGGAACTACAAGTGTCTGGCGAGAGTCAGGCAAACATCTGATGGAGCAAAGCCAACAGACGACTGTTATAACGGGTCACGATATGATTTAATTATGAGGTGTTTAAATCTTGTTACAATCAAAGCATTCTGGTATCTCTTTTAACAATAAATGTGCATCCTTTCTATACAAAAATTTTGAAATGCATTGCAGAAAAAAATGAAAAAAGTAATGAAAAAAGTCCTGTGTATTTTCCTGCACTTTATCACTGCTGTTCACATAAACGCACAGGGAAGCAGGAATGTGTGCTGTCATTAGCTTTGGACGTTTTTGGACGAATTGGATAAAGTTATAGTTAGGCATTTACATTACCCCCTTATTTTTGGTAAATCCTACTCTTTACAATAAAAAAAAGGTTAGATGGGGATGTTTTGGCAGTGCTTCTGGAATAATGCACAATACTTGTCTAGAATGCAAGTTACAATTATAGGGTTGCATTGTGTGCTGTTGGCCTTCAACCTCAGCAGCACTGAGCAGCTGCTGCAAACCAGACTGCCACTATTAGATTAGACTCAATAATTTTACCATTAGTGCAACATACGCGGGGTGTGGAGATGAGGCAGGTACAGAGTAGACTAGTGCTGTGTAAATAAAGCAGTGTTGTGTCAAGGGAAATTCAGCTCAAAATAGGAAGAGTTGGGGAAATAAATCATTCTGCAATAGGGTATTTTTTCACATAAAGTGGACAAATGTAATACAATCCATGCCACTAGTTCCTCGCTCTCAAAACAGTTTGCTTCTGTCACTAGTTTTCACATGCACGTATTTTTGGCCTTTTGTTTAGATAATCTTTTTCAGGCAGAAAAGTGAAAAAAAGAGGATTCCCCTTATTCCACCAATCAGCCCTCAGCCCAAAGAATGAACTAGTGACTCTCAGGGCTCTTCCTTACAAGGGCACAAACAATAAAACACTTTCCAATACATTTTGTTCATTGAATTGTGCTTTTGAAAGACTATTTCTGTTCAAAACAAAAAAAGTAAAATAATGTTAGGTACCTTAGCTTTAAAAAAACTGGATTCACATTTTCTGCATTAAACGCATTATTTTTTTGTATTTTTGTTACACATTCATCTCAAAAACATGGGTTAGGATTAACGGCCAAAAGAATGACAAGCCAGGCATTCAAATACTAAAACGAATACTATTACACAAATTGAACACCAAAAATCAATTTGTTTCTCTATTCTAACCTCACTATAGTCTCCCGTCAGCCACACAGCTCATTCTCCCCTCTGCTAGTAAAGTGCACTGGCTTATAAAAGGCCACCACTAAAACCCTGCTTGTATCCAGGGGCATTGTCATGAAGAGTACTGAATGTTTTAGTGTCTCACAATGACAGGGAAGCCGTTAAGACTGGCCGTGCCGTAAACACCCCAGTGGCTCATGGTAAATCGATGCGGTGCCTCGGAGCATGGCATTATACCTCTGTGATTCCCCTCTGCTTTGACACCCGAGCTTCAGCCCATGCGCCTCCATAGGGATCACCCTGGCTACACCTGACAGTCCAGAGCATCAGTGCGTTCCCATTGTATCGCTATGGATACATTCCAAGCCAAAAGATCCAGTTTCCCTCAATAAAATAAAAAGAAAAAAGCTAAAGTGAAACTCCGGCGCAATGTTTCTAATAGAGGCTTTGGTTTGTACAACGGGGATGAAAAATGACACCATCTCATAGCTGCCTGTTCCTCTAATAACAGCCATTAACACTGGAAGGGGGGCAGCCAAGCTCTCTCCCACACACACACACACATACACACACACACACACACACACACATATACACAAACATACACACACTTACACACACTTACACGGTTGGTTATACAATGTATTGGAGATGCACTTACATTCTTCTTCTTTGGGGTCCAGCTGCGTGACGCTGATGGAGAGGCGGTCCACGCGCTCCTGCAGGGAGTTGACCCGGAACGAGAAGGAGTGGGCCTCGTTAAAGAGCTCTCCAAACAAATCCTCTGCATATTTACCTAGAATAAAAACACAAGTCCAATACAGGAAATGTAGTACAATTAATAGTAATAAGTAATGCATTTTGAGACGACTCGATATGCAGAATCTGTGTGTATTTGTTGTGTATCCTGTAATTGTTGATTCATGAATTTAACATTCTCAGAGGTTTTCATCATTCGCGCATGAGATTTGTTTTCAAGCTTCTTTTACAGCTTTTAGAGGGTGAACTTGTGTGAGTGAGTCAGCATTCAGCAGTGAACCCTGTTGTTGAGAATAATGACACATGTGACAAGTGGAGAAGAAGTAAACACCTCTGAATCCTGCCACATTGTAAGCACTTCTGCACAAAACTGGCGTTGCAGTGATTTTTGTCCGGGCCTGCTGTGTGTGTGTGTGTGTGTGTGTGTGTGTGTGGTCGCTGCACTAACGCACATCACACAGTACACATCATCACACAGTACACGTTGTTGCGTTCGTGATCGCGGCTTGTGGACTTCATGAAAAGCTGAAACTAGTGTTCATAAGGGAAGAGCTGCTCAGGGCGCGCTGAGGCACAGCGTCTGAATCGAGGAGCGAGCGGCGCCTGACGCTGCATTGATTCCGAACCGCTGCTCTGTGAAAGTGAATACAGTGAAATTTATCGAGTCTCAAAATGTCATTGTGCGTCTTTACTTATGGAACAATAAATCATCCTAGTTTTTAAGTGTATTTTTGTCCTTTACCACATCTGCTTTGGCCTCTAAATCCATATGTTTTTTCTATTACGATGAAGACACTTTACTGTCGTCTTAATTGATCATAACATTTAACTTTTGAAAAACTCTTCTGTTGGAGCAAGAAAAATGTATTATTATGAAAACCAAAGAGAGGTTCCTTAGCTTTAATGATGCATTTCTGCTGAAACGTTGCTAAATACTATTAGCCACAGAAGGGTGTGCATGTCAGAGTGTGTGTAAAGCGTCTGTTACTGACTGAGGCTGCTGAGCTGGCGGATGACGTTGGCCAGGGACACGTTGGTCACACACTCCAGCTCATTCTTGATGTTTCTGGGCAGCACTGTGTGACACAGGTGCCGGGGCTCGATGGTGCGCTTCACCAGCGGCATCCTTCTGCTGCCACACTACTACCTGGAAGACACAAAGGAAATACAGTTACAACTTCTGTACTCTTGACCCGAGAAAGGTTACATTTTTACATGGTGTCCGTGATTGCGGTCATAGAAGCACAATCTGTGAGCGGCATATTTGGTAATACAATTATATTACCTAGATGTTGACTGTTTGAGCACTGATTTAAAAAAACAGTGCCATACTTCAGATTTTGCATTTAAAAGGTCATTTGAAGATGTATATTTGAAGGTATTCCACAGAAGCGAGGTGCACCAGAATGGCAGATGTGTAACCTTTTAACATAGCTAACAGCCTTGTAGCCTTTTGATCATTCCCTGGATAGCACTGCTCAGCAGTTTAGCTGCCCACTCAGCCATGTTAATGCTAATGCCATTGGGTCTGCAGAGTGCATGTATGAAAGCAACATGGTTACAGTATACCTCCTTCCTTATAGAATAAAACAACCCAAAATGTAACAAACACCACAATGAAAACACAGTTGATTGTAACCGTTGAAAAGCCAACTATTTTATTGATGTCCAGTTAGACAATGACTTGGGGCCATAGGAAGATGTAATGAGGTTGTTCTCCTCCGTGCTGCTGTTGTGATTGTGCAGTGTGGGCGATGATGACACAAGCCTAAACATGAGTCTCACCTTTCAAATGACAGCTCTTTATTTTCCTTACCACCCACTCTCTAGTCATCAGTGCCTCGTGTTTGAGACCACCGCTAAACCCCATGTGTTTGGATATTTTCCACGGTGGATTTGAAATGTCGTTACAATATTTGAAGTATTCGTGCAGAAAACCCCACATTAGAATGCTTTGCTTTCATGCTCCATTTTACCCCAGTCCCAGATCCCTTTCTCAATAAGAGTCTCTCTGAGTTTCTCAGTTTTGTCCCACTGGGCGTTTGAGTCGTTCCTTGCCCAATGCAGGAGGGTTTAAGCACACTGATGATCTGGGACATTCGCGGACATTGTTCATCCCGCTTCCATACAACCAAAGGCCGCTATGGGTTTTTTATTATCATTATTGTATTTTTATGGTTTTCTCCGATCTGTGTTGGCGAATCAACAACTTTGCAAAGCGCACCCAGACTGCTGTTGTGATTTAGGGCTATAAAAAAAATACATTTAATTAAAGTTGAGTTAAACACAACTTTCCTTATTCAATACACATTGATGCAAAGAAAAATATACAATTTTAATTTAAGAAAAGTCGTCTAAATCTTGCAGAACAGAAAGTTGAGGCCCATGATTATAAACACAGAGAAAGACAACTAAGTGTAATTCTGTAATGATGATAATTGAAAAACAACATATCGACGTAGGAGTATTAGATCAATATAGCAATAGATAATCTGAGACGGATGACAGATGGCGTAGCAAGTAGAGCCATATGTCTGTTATTTTTAGAATTAGATTAAATGATTTAGACTGGAATCACCTGGGTTTCAATGAGTAATATTAATATTATATGAGATAAAAGGTGGTAAAGACCAGCAAATCTTTTAAGTCAATCACCACACAAGAGCCCCACACTGAGCCTGCTGCGCCAGTGAAGGTTTTCGACTTTGATAAGACATCATTTGACAGCCGGGGAGAGTGAGAACAGTACAGCCTTTCCTCTAGAGGCCCCGTAAAAAGCACTCCACCACTAAAATTCTGTTCAAAAGAAACGGAGATGATAGCAGACAAACACAGCCGTTTAGGGGGTCGCATAAGCCTGCCAACTTCAGAGGCAGCTACAAAGGTTTGAAAGAGAAATCAATTAATAATCCCAAAAAATTGTTGTATTTGTCAAAAGATCCTTGTGGAGCCATGCTGGTCTGAACAAAAGCGTTTCTGAGCTGGGAGCGTAGGCGGTTGTTTGTGACGCCCTGGTCATTTACAACAATTTCTGGTGAGTCAGCTCAAAAGGCCGGCTTCATAAAAAGAAAGACTTTTTTCAGTGACACAATTGAGGAGGGAAATTCATGGAAAATGTGCATGGGTAGCGTTTTTTCATTTTCTCTTATCGGCAACAGCTACAGTATATCATACCGGCAAAGAGTTGAGTCCCAAAACTGGTCTCGATTCCACACTTTTAGGTCCATCTAGAGTCTTTGAGTGCAAACCTCATCTTGAGTGGTGCTTTCCACTGTCACACATCGTCATGGTAACTGCGCTGCGACGTCATTGGTCACTGTGCCATATTCCGACAGAGATGCAGAGCCGCAAAAGGGGGAAGGTTGAGGTGATGAGTCAAGACAAGAGATAGCCATTGACGAGCAGTTACAAAACGATTGTGCTGTACATGGAAAGGGGAGGGGATGAAACATGTCTGTGCAGGACTGGGTTTGCAGGGGCCCCCGTGGTGCGGCTCACTGCACTTGGGACAATATGCCCAACTGCTGGCTTTAATGAATCCTAATGGAGCTTTTAGTCACTACTACTACTGGGGCACAATGAAGCAGATAGGCTCTTAATACAGACTGGGTCAAGGGCCTATTATATTGGGGCCAAATCACTTGATGCAGCACCTCCCTGTAAGAATGCACATGTGATGCATTGTCTTAGCTAGGGCAGCAGGCAATCAGGAAAAAAAAAACACCCGCTATATTCACTGATCTTGATTTCTTATTTGATCTGTTCTTTTCCTATTTTCATTCAAACTGGTATGACAACAAACTTTCAGACTGAGTGAACAGATGACAGAGTATTAGGATAAAAACAATCAGGAAAGAGTTTTTAGAACTTTTTACCACAACAAATTAAATAGTTTCTTCTTCAGGCCCGCCTGAAGAGGAGGCCTGCAGTGTCTTTTGATTTTAATTCATATGGTGGCAATCACCATCAACAAAAAATTAAATCAACTTTTAATTTTAGGCAGGGGTTTTTTATTTTTAAAAGGAAACTGTTGTTTTGAATCCAGTTTAGTATAGTTTTAAACAACAAATTATTTGTCATTTATGAGTATAGCAACGGATGAAGCGGAAGAAAATGGATGGATTGATCATGGAGTATATCACATATTTGTCATTTCAGGTTACGAAAACATTTGTTGTAGCCGGAAACATTTTGTTATGGTCTTCAAAGAAGGGCAATGACAATGACTGCAAATTGCCTTCAACAACGTGGAGATCTCATCTCTATGTGATGTAAAATTCATAGCCTGCACCTGGGCCAAGTAGATCGTGTACAATCAGCAACAATTTGGATAATGCAACTAAATACAAGGTCTGTTTGCTGCTGAAAAACAATGAGAGTAGCAGCAGTGACTCTGAAATAATGAGGCCATAGGTCAGTAGAAAAATCCCATTGAGTTGAATTTATTGTGATAAGGTTTGGCAAACCTGACGGCTATTGGGATTTAGAATAGGACGTTTACGGATCTGTCCAGAAGCCGTTCAAATCACAGTGCAGAAAAACAGTAGAACAGCAAATGGAGCTCTCAACATACAAGAGACCAACAAAGGGAGAGAGCCCAGACCTTTCAGGAAAAAAAACACTTTTGCATAGAGACAATTTTTGCATAGAGAGGACTTTTGCATAGAGACAATTTGAAGCTTTTGGCAAGCACAAGTGGTACAGATCCCAACAGATCCCAACTTTTTGGGAGCTTTACTTTTATAATTATATTATGTTCTACTTACAGTTCTTGTTGTTGTACATTAGATTAGCTGAAAAGTCTTGACATTGATGGATATTGTAAAATATTACAGCAAACAGAGCAAGATTTACAGTGAATTACATCAGTGAGGTCTAGTATGAAGGTCAGCCTCCATAACCGTCTGTGCTTCTACTCTCAGTGAGGGCCTCAACAAGACAGGGCTGCAGCTCCAAACATCAAAACTCTTTGAGTAGGGCTGAAACAACTAATCGATTAATCGACGACTAATCGATTATTGAAATAGTCGTCAACTATTTTAGTAATCGATTAATCGTTTTCTGGTTCACACGGACTCAAACAGAGCAAAAATGACATGAAAATGTAGTATTTTTGATTAAAACCGACTTTGTTTTTATAATTTCATGAATATCTGTCTGTCTCATCCAATCAGATAGCAGAATTAGCACAAAGAGCCTTTTACAAACATTTACTTTAAGTACGTTACGCCAGATTAATCGATTACAAAATAATCGTTAGTTGCAGCTCTATTCAATACGTCATTAGTGCTGGTGAATGGAGGTGTGGTATTTAGTGTTGGCTGTCTATGGTCAGCTGCAGCCTCTCAGAGTCCAGCGTGTGGTCCATAGACTGTAAATAAGCCTCTGTGCTTGTTTGTGTTAGCTTCATGTGACTTGGATAAAATGTGTTGTCGGGTGTAAATATGTGACGAGAGTATTTGTTTCTGAAGACTTTGTTCACAAGGATCTGCCTAGTATCCGCGAGTCCGCTACAAAACTGAAATATCTGCTACAAAGACTACTCAGATGTCTCTTTGTCACTGTGAACTAAATAAGCTGATTCTGGTCGGGCTCACAGGCAGAGGAGCACAGTCCAACCACATGAGGTGAGAACATGAAATTCCACAATAATTAGAGTTTTGAGTGTTGTGTATCACCCAAGTTATTATTCACATGTGCAAGGATGGACTGTGAAATGAAGAAAAGTGAAATATGGCCCCTTTTAAATGTGTGACGCGTACTGCTCCTGATTAACAGATGGCACCGATGATGGAGCAGGGTGACCGGTCCAAGTTGGCGGGACACCAACGGCCGTAAAGGCCGATAGACGGGGGGGGGAGCGGTACAGGCGGCGTCTACTCTTTTTATGTCTATGTATGAGACAGTCAAAGCCTAGTTGTTAGGGGCTTCATCTGCCCTTCCACGAGCGAACAGGAGACTTTTGAATGTGCAAATATTACAGCTTGATGAAAGGCTATGGAGGTAAAAGACGGAATAGAGACGGCATTTGACGCATATTATTAGTAAAGAGGTATCATTTTCTTCAAAACGTGATGAGTGCCACAGAGCCGTGTCCTGATCTGGCCGCGAGCGCAGCTTGTGCT